CGTCGTCGTCGTCGTCGTCGTCGTCGGCGTCGTCCTCGGGGTCCTTGCTCCGTCCCGCGCCTTCGTGCTGCGCGTGTTCGCGCGGCCCAGCCAGCGGCGGCGGCGGTCGTCAAGAGGGAACGAGGCAGGGGGGGGGAAGAGGAGGAGGGGGGCGAGAAGGAGGAGGAGGACGAGGAGGAGGAGAAGGACCGCGAGGACGAGGGGGGGGGAGGTGGCGGCGGTGGTGGCGGCGTTTACGAGGAGGAGGGGGTGGAGGAAAAGGAGGAGGGGGTGGGTTGGAGGATAGAGGTGTGGGTGGAGGTTGGTGGTTTGGTAGCGGGGTGGGTGGTTGGGTGGTGGGTGGGGTGGTGTGGCTGGTGTGATGGTGGTGTTGGCTAGGAGAGGAGAAAGGGAGGAGGGAGGAGAAGGAGGAACAGAAGAGGAGGACGAGGAGGACGAGCGAGGCGGCCCAGTGGGGTGGCAGTGTTGACGATGGGTGGGTAGGGAGAGGGGGCGGAGGAGGGGAGGTATGAGGAGCAGGAGGAGGAGGAGGAGGAGGGGGAGGAGGAGAAGGGGGGGAGGTGGCGGCGGCGTTGGCGATGTTGGAGAGGAGGGGGAGATGAGAGGAGGGTGGGTGAGGAGGATGAGGGAAAAAGGAGGAGGAGTGGAAGGAGGAGGGGTAGGGGGAGGAGGAAGAGGTGGGGAAGGTGGCGGCGCTGTTGACGATAAAGGAGAGGAGGAAGAGGAGGAGGAGGAGGAGGAGGAGGAGGAGGAGGAGGAGGAGGAGGAGGAGGAGGAGGAGGGGGAGGTCGGGGAGGAGGGGAAGGTAGCGGCGATGTTGACGATGAGGGAGGGGAGGAAGAGGAGGAGGAGGAGGAGGAGGAGGAGAAGGAGGAGTAGGGAGAGGAGGAGGAACAGGGGGATATGGAGGAGGTGCATGAGGAAGAGGCAGGAGGGGGCAGGAGGATGCGGAGGAAGCAAGGTGCACTGCCCCGAGGGGTTGCGTCGCAGGCTTGTCGAAGCCGCGGAGGCTCGAGGCTCGTGAGGCTCGTGGGGGGCCTCTTTCTTTGTTTCCTCCCTCTCTCCCTCCCTTTGCTCGGTTCCCTCTCCCTCCCTTTGCTCCCCCCCTCTCTCTCCAGCCAGCCCTTCCTCCTCCGCTTTCTCCCTGCCGGGCGGGCCATGTAAGGCGCGCAGCGCAGTGCCGCGTGGCATCGTGACAGCTCCTGCTCTTCCTCCTCATCGTCCTCCTCGTTCCCTCCTCTCTCCTCTTACTTCTCCTACCAGGTCCGCCTCCTCCGCCTCCTCCTCCTCCTCCTCCTCCTCCTCCTCCTCCCCCTCTTCCTTCTCGCCGCTCCCTCCTCCCTCCTCCCTCCTCCTCCTCCTCCTGCTCCTCCTCCTCCTCCTCCCCCTCCTCCCCCCCTCCTTCTCCTCCTCCACCTCCACCTCCACCTCCTCCCCCAGGTCTGGAATTTATGGAATTTGTGGAACTTCTGGAATTTTGTGATCTTCTGGGATTTCTGGAATTTCTGGAATTTTTGGAATTTCTGGAATGTTTCTGGGATTTTTGGAATTGCTGGAATTCTGGGATTTTTTGAATTTTTGGAATTTTTGGAATTTCCGGAATGGTTGGAATTTTTGCGATTGCCAGAAATTCCAGAAATCCCAAAAATTCCCGACACTCCACACATTCCAGAATTCAAGAAATTCCAGACATTCCAGAAATTCCAGAAATTCCAAACATCCAGAAATTCAGAAATTCCAGAATTTCCTGAGATTCCAGAAATTCCAGAAATTCCACAATTTCCAGACACTCCACACATTCCAGAATTCCAGAAATTCCAAAAATTCCAAAAATCCAGAAACTCCAGAAATTCCAGAAATTTCGGAGAATAGCGGCCCGCCGGTGGCTCGCACTGTGAGAAAACATTGTTATTTTAAGGGATGATGCGTTGGGATTTCACCAAAACGATGCGTTGGGATTTGCGTTGGGATTTTGGGATTTGCGTTGGGATTTTGGGAGGCCCTCTGCAGCCGGTAATCTGGCATTTTTTGTCTTGAGGGGCGGGCGTCCGGTAATTTTCAGCTGTGCGGGAGGTCGAGCCTCCAACCATCAGCTCTGCGCTGGCAAATTGCGATCAGAGCAGCTCCCGTGCGATGTGTGAAGGCGCTGGGAGTCCGCCCGACTGCCAGCCAGGGATTCTGCATCAGAGAGAGAGGTTAAGTCCTGCCCAACGGGGTGGATGTGGTAGTTCACGGCGCCTCGAGATCACGACATCATCGTCGGGCACGCGTGAGGTCTTGCATCGATCGCAATATTCGTTATCGTGCTATGCTGCGCCACGGCTAAGCTGACAATGAGCTGTTGAATGAGGCCTGGGCCTCACGTGAAACGTTGCGTCCAACGTGATAGATCAGTTGCCACCCCGTCTCTCTGCCACCCGAATTCTCTGTGGTCGAACTTGTTCGTGGACTTGAGAGCGGCGCATGTAATAACAAACCTTCGAGTGTGGATCGTGTTTGAGCCAGAAGTGCTTGGAGGAGAAAGAGGATGAACATATGAGGGGTGGGAGGATGCGGGAACGAATAGGGAGACGTCTAGGATGAGGGGAGGATACGAGAGAAACAACAATCATCACACATGGAAGCGATTACGAAGTAAATGTATAACATCAAACATAGCTCGCGATACTATGAAATGACTACAACACCGATTTGATGACACGGAACGCTTCGTCCTGACGGGGTTCCACGATTCACCCGCCCCCACCCCGCTCGCATTATGTTTGACGATGGTACCCCCCTGTGCCGCGATGATAAATGAATAACGGATGAATGACAAATAAAGATGGTATGATGAGGGGGGGCACGCTTAGCCATTTTGGCTCACATGGCCGACCGCAGTCGGTCACCGCCGCGCGCGTGGCGGGCTACCACCCAAGTGGAGAGGGATAGTGGCGCAGAGCTGCTGCGATATCTCATCGGCCTGTACGCTTCGCGCAAACTTTCGGCCAGAGACTTGTGCGTCATCTGCTACTATGCAACGCAAGCCAATGTGGCAGGTGGCACATTCTCGACATACGCCGTGAAGCCTGACGCGCCGAGCGGCCAGTTTCAGAAGCATCTCGATGTTGTAATGCCACCTCCAGGGCCGCTCTTCGATGTAGACGCCCCAGTGAACGTCAGGCACTC